GAGGGGGGGGGGGAGTGTGAGCTTTTATTATATTTAAATCCTGGTTAGGTTTTAATAGTCAGAGAGTGAGATGCTTCTTAAGAGTGAGCAGCAAAATGAGAGGAGACAGCAGCTGGAAGAGCAGCTGCAGAGAGTCTTGATCCTCGGGAAATATTCTGTGTAGAACGTGTTGGCTGCTGGGTGCCCATCAAAAGCATCCAGGCAGCCTAGAGTAGGGATGAGCATTAACCGGCTCACAAACAAAGGTTTGTGACGAATTTTGGCTGGTTTGTGAATGGAACAGCTGCCACAAACTTCTACAAATTTTAAGGCAGTTCGTGGCAGTTTATGAAGAGCAGAAAGCAGGGATTGAATTGGCTCAGAGCTATTTAACCCCCTGCTTTCTGCTCCCCACCACTTTTGGTAGGGAGCAGAAAGCAGAGGTTTAAATGGCTTGAAGCCATTTAACCCCCTCATTTCTGCTCCCTGTGAAAAGCAGCGGGGAGCAGAAAGCAGCGGTCATGAACCGATACAAATCGGGTTGGTTCACAAATCAACTTCCTGGTTTGTATTGGTTTGTGGTTCAGTCACAAATTGAAACATACCACAAGAATGCAGTTTGTGCCCTTCCCTAGCCTAGAAGTGTGGCTTGGAGTCCTCGCCCAGCCTCTAGCCTTCTTCACTTGGGTCTTGAGACAAGTTGGGGTGATGATCCCACATGGATATCCTCCAGCACTGTCAGTCCCCTAACTTAGAATCCCAATGACACCCTCAAGAGATGGCTAAGAGAAGGAGCTATGACATGACAGATCTTGCTACAGACTCACTTGGTGGTTTTAGGCAAGTCATTCTCAGCCTCATCTCCAAATCTGCAGTTCGGGGATAATAATACTTGCCCACCTTACTGGGCTGTTGTAAAGATTACAAGAAGATAATAGGGTAGGGGGCTGTGGCTCAGTGGAAGAGCCTCTGCTTTGCATGCATACGGTCCAAATTCAATCCCCAGCATCTCCAGTTAAAAAGGACCAGGCAGTATGTGATGTGAAAAACCTCTACCTGAGACCCTGGAAAGCTGCTGCCAGTCTGAGTAGACAATACTGTCCTTGATGAACCAGAGAGCTGATTCAGTATAAGGCAGTCTCATTTTTGTGATAATGTCTGTGAAGTGCTTCTATGTAGCACATCTAAAATAGTATATAAATGCTGAGTAATTAGTCTGAGTAGTCTGCCAGTCTGAGTAGACAATACTGTCCTTGATGAACCAGAGAGCTGATTCAGTATAAGGCAGTCTCATTTTTGTGATAATGTCTGTGAAGTGCTTCTATGTAGCACATCTAAAATAGTATATAAATGCTGAGTAATTATTATTAATAATAAAGTATTTGCAATAGTAATCAATGCAATGTGTTATTAACAATATATTAGCAACAGTAATTAACACTAAGTACTATTATTAACAATAATAATTAAAAGTAAACCCATTTCATAAAACCTGCAAAGGTTATATTGTAACCTAGGGGGAAAACAGTATTTCTATCTATCTAATGTCTGCCTCCAAATGCATTTTGAAATTTTTTTAAAATCCTACATAAAAATTCTGTTACATAGAATAAAATGTCATTATACTGTTATTGGAAGTCCCCACCTCTCTACCGGCGAAGGCACAACCATAGATAATTTTTATTTGAATTCATCATTTAGAAAGTTTGATGTCTTCATACTTTGTTACCCCTGAGCCAGCCATGGCTGGGAGGGCGGGGTATAAATATAATAAATAATAATAATACATTAAGTAGTTGTGCCAGGATTGCATTCTCCAAAACCAAAATAAAATATTTCGTAAAACATTCAATAGTAATTAATGCTATGTATTATTAATAATACATGAGCAGTCGTAATTAATGCTAAGTACTATTATTAAAAATAATAATTAAGAGTAAATCCATTTCATAAAACCTGCAAAGGTTATACTGTAACCTGGGGAAAACAGTATTTATATTCATCTAATGCCTGCCTCAAATGCATTTTGAAAATTTTTAAAGGTCCTACATAAAAATTCTGTTACATAGAATAAAATGTCATTATACTGTTATTGGAAGTCCCCACCTCTCTACCGGCTAAGGCACACACATATGCAACTTTTATTTGAATGCATTATTCAGGATGTTTGGTGTGTTCATACTTTGTTACCCTGGTCTTAAGTAGTTGTACCAGGATCGCTTTCTCTGAAACCAAAATAAAATATTTGGTAAAACATTCCTGTTTGAGGTATTTGTACTAGAACAACTTTGTGTATGTCCCATACTCCATATTGTAAAATGTACTGAAATATTATCTAAAATAATTTTAGTCTGTAATTCTTTTTCTATTTCATTCCCATAATCCTGTTTGGATTCTCTGGATGCAATATGGTTATGTTTCACAGTTTGGTGTAGTGGTTAAGTGCGCAGACTCTAATCTGGGAGAACTGGGTTTGATTTCCCACTCCTCCACTTGAAGCTGCTGGATGACCTTGGGTAAGCCATAGTTCTGTCACAGCTGTTCTTGAAAAAGAGCAGTTTCTTTCAGAGCTCTCTCAGCCCCACCTACCTCACAGGGTGTCTGTTGTGGGGAGGGGAAGGGAAAGTAGTTTGTAAGCCACTCTGAGACGCCAAGTGAAGGGCAGGATATAAATCCAATCTCCTCCTTCTCCTCTTCTTTGTATTTCACTTTATGGAAAATGAATTAAAAATAAAGTTACAGGGGGGGAATCGTCATGCCAAAATGCAAGGTTAGTGTGGTAAAAATTGCTACGTAGGTTTGTAATGCCTAATCTCTTGAGTGTGTGTGTGTGCGTACGTGCCTCCTAGCACTTCAGGATATTGTTTGGGGTACTGAAAACAGAGCATCCCATTAAAATGAATGACTTGTTCATCTTACACAAAAATCCATATTGCATTAGGCTCCCTAGTTGTGCATTCCAGGAAATTCTTGGTAAATGCCTTTAAACTTGCAAACCAAAATAAATGGTCCATTATATCTAGAAAGCTGAAGAATAAGATAAATGGGCAAATAAAATGGAAAGATAGTTCGTCCATTTCTTTGTTATATACATGATTATGGTTCAGTTTGGTGTAGTGGTTTAGTGTAGTGGTTAAGTGCGTGTACTCTAGGACTCTAATCTGGAAGAACCGGGTTTGATTCCCCACTCCTCCACTTGCACCTGGCTGGATGACCTTGGGCAAGCCATAGTTCTGATAAGAGCTGTTCTTGAAAAAGAGCAATTTCTGTCAAGAGCTCTCTCAGCCCCACCTACCTCACAGGGTGTCTGTCGTGGGGAGGGGAAGGGAAAGGAGTTTGTAAGCTGCTCTGAGACACCTTTGGGTTGGGTTGTGAAGGGTAGGGTATTAAAGCCAATCTCTTCTTCTTCATCCAACGATAAAATGATTCAGAAATTGTACAACTTGTTAATAGATGACTATATTCAGGATGAAGTTGTTAAATCTACAATGGTCAAAGCAACGGTATTCCCAGTAGTCATGTATGGCTGCGAGAGTTGGACTATAAGGAAGGCCGAGCGCCGAAGAATAGATTCTTTTGAACTATGGTACTGGAGAAGACTCTTGAGAGTCCCTTGGACTGCAAGAAGATCAAATCAGTCAATCCTAAAAGAAATCAACCCTGACTGTTCCCTGGAGGTCCAGATGATGAAAATACTTTGGCCACCAAATGAGAAGGGAGCACTCACTGGAGAAGACCCTGATGCTGGGAAAGATTGAAGGTCAAAGAAGATGGGGACGGCAAAGGATGAGATGGTTAGACAGTGTCATAGATGCAACGAACATGAAATTGAACAAACTTCAGAGGACGGCGGAAGACAGGAAGGCCTGGCGTGATCTGGTCCATGGGGTCCATGGGGTCGCGAAGAGTTGGACTCAACTGTGTGACTGAACAACAACAACAAAGGAGCAGACATCTTCCTCCGTTCTTGTTGGGAGCCTCGGCTTTTAATGTAGAGTTTTATCTTACCAGCTTTTTAATGGTCTGCTCTGTTTTATGGACAGTTTTTATGCTGCTTATGTCCAAAGGCTTGTTATTTATACTGTCGCTTTTAATTATTAGCTGCCTCGAGGAGGACTCCAAAGAGATGGCACAGAAATATTCTAAATAAATAATGAGTAAACCCTACAAAGCTCAGGATAATTCTTGCTGCAGTCATCTTCAGGTCGTTAGATTGGTGGAAGACTGCTGCAGGACCTTCTCAGTAGTGGCCTCCAAGCTGCAGGACCTGTTGCCTAGACACATGTACCTTTTAAATACACCAGTATGCAGGCTTGTAGAAAGCAACACAAGTTCTTATGGCCGGTGGAGTAGCCCTTTTAGTCTGCCTTGTATAATTAGTATGTTGTTGTGTTAATGCAGTATAATAAGATGTTCTTTTTAGAGCCATTAGGGTTTTATCATTGGACTGCATATTCTAATGGAGTGTCTTGTATACTCTTAGCTGCTTTCAGCAAATTTTGGCAAGACTCCACAGAAATCAATAAAACTAATAAGCTTAATGGAAACAAATTCAGTGTGGGTAGAGTGCATTGTGTTTGTACTCTGCCTGCTTTTTCTGCAGATACATTATGAACAAGGGCTGTGTCTAGAATTGAAGACTGAAAGAGTTATACTTGCAGTTGTTTATGCAAAAATGTATTTAAAATAACTGTCATGTAGTTATTTGTGTAAAATCTGTGGGTTACACCCTAAATTGCCTTCTGCTTGGGCAAGGGAGGCCTGCTCATGCCAGGCTTGTGCTAATTTTTCATACACATATGCCCTGTGCAGGTACCCACTCCCCCCCAGTGCAGTATGCTATGCTATCCTGTTCTTGAGGATCCTTTTGTCCCCGCAGGGTGTATTTTAGGGAACACAGCCTGGCTGCCGCATAAAGAGGGAATAGGAGATTTCTCTTCCCCTGGCCCAGTTCTGCTCACAGTGCTTAGGATACGACCCTGACATTTAGCTTGTTTGATTCGTTGTTTTTAAATTAACAGATTGCTTTTCTGTTTGTTTCCAAGCTGCTCACTCGACTTGAAGGCAGAAGTTCCCTGAAAAAGCTTGAACCTTGCCTATTTGCTGAGGAAGGATATCCCATTCATGGTAAACCACATTTCCGCCTCTAAAGTATGTACAAGCAACAATTGGCAAATCCGAAGGTAGATAGCAAATATGCCAGTTTGATGCTTAATTCGTCACACGGTTGTATGACTTCGAAGTACACATGGGATCCATTAAAGGCAAGCCTTCTCCCAGCTGTTAGCTTTCTACATGCACAGAGATGTTGACAAGGGACCTTTTTGAAGACCCCTTTCCCTACATGCAGTACATCATCTGCACAGTTTACTGCAGTCTTCCTTGGGGGAACCCCCCCCCCCTCATTATCCTTATGCATTAAGATTGGAACCTGAAAGTTATATTTTAATATCTCTTTGCATTGTATACTGACTGACCCAATTAATTCTCCTTCCTCTCCAGTAGTTTGTAAGTCATTGGCTTTCTTTTAAGGGAGTGTATTTTTGAAGGATTTTGAGATTTATAAGTGAAAAGTATATGAGGTTTAAAATTATTCCTTATTATTATGTAATCTGAACATTGTTACAGTATTTCTTTTCCAAACAATAGCAACCTCTGAAAGCTAAATAACGGCTTGGGAAACTGTTTTCTCGGATACAAAACATGTTGGTGTGAACTTGCATTTCTTTCCGGGCTCTTGTCTGTAGTGCCATTTATTCCCCGTTAAATACTGCCAATGCCCTGACTTGGATAGCCCAGGCTAGCTTGATCTTGTCAGAGCTCAGAAGCTAAGCAGGGACAGCCCTGGTTAATATTTGGATGGGAGACCACCCATGAAGTCCAGAGTCAGTACGCAGAGGCAGGCAAATGGCAAACCACCTCTGAATGTCTCTTGCCTTGAAAACCCTACAGGGTCGCTGCAAGCTGGCTGTGACTTGACAACACTTTCCACCACCAAATACTGTAAACCCCAGAACATCTTTCCGTTAAAGCAGTCTTCTTTTAACTCTGCAAGATCAGAAGGGATACTGATGCCCCAAATTCCATGTACTTTTTACATTAGCTCAGAACATGGTGCTGTTGAAAGTTCAGCATACTAAAGGAAAGGGATTTCGGAAACAAAAAGATGTGTACTTGTGTTAGAACTGAAACCTGGCCAGTTGTGCCTGTCTGTGAGTTACAGCTATCCTTCTGGATTAAAAAAAACCCTACCTTGCTTCTTGCTTGTTGCACAGGAGATGTTGTTGAATTCCACGGTCCAGAAGGAACAGGGAAGACGGAAATGCTCTATCACCTCATCGTCCGCTGCATTCTCCCCAAAGCGGGAGGGGGCTTAGAAGTCAGTTTGCTTTTTATTGATACCGACTTCCATTTTGACATGCTGCGCCTGGTGACCGTTCTGGAACACAGTCTGTGCCAGAGCTCTGAGGAACTGATCAAGCAATGTCTGGGGAGGTTCTTCCTCGTGACCTGCAACAGCAGTGCCCAGCTGCTGCTCACCCTTTACTCTCTGGAAAACATGTTTTGCTCTCACCCTTCCCTCTGCCTCTTGATGATTGACAGCATGTCGGCCTTTTATTGGATTGACCGCGCGAATGGAGGGGAGAACCTCAGCCTGCAAGAAGCCAACCTACGGAGATGCGTGCAGTGCCTCGAGAAGCTCATCCGAGAGTACCACTTGGCCTTGTTTGCAACGACCCAAACCATCATGCAGAAATCCTCGAACTCTGCAGAAAGCTCAGCCAGACTCCAGGATGAGGCAGATGGGGACTACCGGCCTTACCTCTGTAAATCATGGCAGCAACTGATAACCCATCGGATCTTTTTCTCCAAGCCGTGCCACCCAGGCAGCGCCAAAGGATTTTCAATCACTTCTTGCCATGTCCATAATAACAGTGTTGTGAAGCGCCCATTTAGCATTTCGGAATATGGAATCCAGTTTTAACGGTGGCTTTTTAAAAAAAAAAAGCGTACAAAACGTTGACAGCTTTATTGTCAAGTTTGCATGAATTTCTGTAGTTTTTTTTAAAAAAAAACATTTTAAAATTTTATACAAATGTTCCCTAAAACATAATTTGAAAACTTCAGCGAGTACTTCTGTTTCACCTTTGCAGTTGTGAAAGTACTAAGGGCTTCAGGAAGAACTAGAAGATCCATCATCCTTGGGGTCTAATAAATAGTTAAGCGCTGTATAGTTGGGCTTGTTTCTCTCTCACACAGGGCTACGTTAATGAATGGGTTGGCAGCAGCGCATATACCTGAAGTTCATAGAAGAGTGCTTGTAAGGGTTTGGACTGGAAGTCATCTGCCATTCAACCAGAGATAGACACTGATGCTGTTCTCATTCAGTAGAAGAACAGATACAACAAAGTCCACACGAGGTCTGTTTTCTTGTTCTGTACTCATTTCAGAGTCTGACTGATTCCTTGACCATCTAAACCAGATGTCCCCAGCGTGGCACCCATGGGCACCCGCTGACACCTTTCCTGGTGCCCACCAAGTTTTTCCAGAAAGGGGGTGGGGGGAGCAGGTGGGGATTTTGCCAGCGGGGCTTCTGATTGGTCACTAAAGATCTGATTGGCTTTGCAGGTATTTAAAAACATTGCTTTGGCACCATCTGCCACCACAGCACAACGGTCTTCACTGTGTGACTGAAAGTACACTTGTACATATGCAAGAAAATATTTTAAAACAATATGTATGTTTTAAAAGGCATACTGTTAAGTACAGCTTCCTCCTGAAATATGAAGAGTAACTATTAGAATTATGTATAACCTCACTCCCTGACATCTCTGCAACCTGCGGCAGCCATTTTCTGGTTGCACCCACCACCTTATGTCAGAATTCTAAAGGTGCCCACAGGGTCAAAAAAGTTTTTTTTGGGGGGGGGGCGAAACAGTGGGAGGGCTTCTAGTGTCCTGGCCCCACTGGTGGGCCTCCTGATGGCACCTGGTATCTTTGGCCACTGTGTGACAAAGTGTTGGACTGGATGGGCCATTGGCCTGATCCAACATTGAGTTATCTTATGTTCTTATTGGGGACCCCAACGTAAACAAATCACAGCTCAAAGCACACACCCACCTTAGGATTCTTTTCATGTTAGGCCAGAAGTTCTCATAAATGCAAGTGATTCGGTAGTCTTTAAACTCAGGCTCTTGTTCCGGTCCTGAAGGGTTTGCTACAGACTCTAGTTTCATTTGAGGGGGGGAAAGCTATTTACTAATCTTTTCATGGCTGCATCAAAATGGCAGCTTGCCCCAACAACTGTAGTGCCAGTACCTAGTCGGAAAGTGCCTTTAGAAAAGACTGAATGGCATGAAAACTTAGAGCTGAAGTTTCTTGTTTTGGCAGCCAGCAACTCCGAATGTCCATTTGGCGTAGTTCCCCACAGTCCAATATGGCTTGTGGGCAGCAAGACTTTCAAAACTTACTGTTAAGAGATAGTGTAGGAATCTTTATGAAAGTGAGGAAGGAGCAGGTAAAATATGAGGGGAGAGAGACAGTCAGTGATTAAGAAGAAGAAGAAGAGAAGAGATTGGATTTATACCCCGCCCTTCACTACCCAAAGGTGTCTCAGAGCGGCTTACAAACTCCTTTCCCTTCCCCTCCCCACAACAGACACCCTGTGAGGTGGGTGGGGCTGAGAGAACTCTGACACAAACTGCTCTTTTTCAAGGACAGCTGTGCCAGAGCTTGTGACTGACCCAAGGTCACATCAGCAGGTGCAAGTGGAGGAGTGGGGACTCAAACCCGGTTCTCCCAGATTAGAGTCTGCGCACTTAACCACTACACCAAACTGGCTCTCCAACCACAACTAAGGCCTGTCAGTCTGTGGATCGAGAGGATATCAAACTAATAATGTCTAAGCACAGAGAGCGACCAGGACAATTACAGTTGCACAATTCAAAGCCTTATAAAACCACACGCAATGGGGCACAGTTTCCTTAAAGTAGGGTGCACAATGCAAGGCCTTTAAAGTTTGTTTCAATAACCTGAACACTGTGTAGTGCAGAGGGAAGAAGAGGAGATTGGATTTATATCCTGCCCTTCACTCGGAGTCTCCGGGCGGTGTACAAACTCCTTTCCCTTCCTCTCCCCACAACAGACACCCTGTGAGGTAGGTGGCGGCTGAGAGAGCTCTTGACAGAAACTGCCCTTGACAGAACAGCTCTGAGAGAACTTGTGACTGACCCAAGGTCACACCAGCAGCTGCATGTGGATGAGTGGGGAATCAAACCCGGTTCTCCCAGATTAGAGTCCACACTCCTAACCACACTTGCTCTTCCTGTGAACAGCCTTGAGTTTTAGCCATGTACTGGCTTTCCTATTAGTCCTTTTATCACTTCAGTGAATCCAAATACAACATACCGTCTAATGTTACTGAAAAGTACTGGGTTCGCAGCATGGAGGACTCGGACGACGACATGCGTTTGCACACGTTTATTGTACTTAACATCGAACTAACAAACGGCCCTGCAAGGCCAACTATATACACACACACCCAGCACATTTCCCGCCATAGTTCCTATTGGTCCGTGCTGGGGCAACTAGGATCCTCCGTTCCTATTGTCTTGAGGAGCTGAGCGCCTGCCTGTAGCCGTGGACCCCTGCTGGCGGTCCGCATACATAACGGGTTGTTTCGTCGAAAAAGAGCTAGGGGAACTCATTAGCATAACTCATTAGCATATCACCGGAAGTGTGTCATAAGGCCACACCCCCTGACATCACCGGAACCTCTTGAGTAGCTCACAGCTTTAATGCCAGTGGCTCACAAAGTAGAAATTTTGCTCACAAGACTCCACAGCTTAGAGGGAACATTGGTAGGCAATTCCAGGGAGAAAAAACAGCTATAAACCAAGACCAGCTATAAACCAAAACAGCTATAAACCAAGCATGGGGGCAGATGACCACATTGCTACAGAAAATACACAGAAAATCCAGGCATTTATACTTTGTTTTCACTCCCTCCCCCCAACAATTCTGGCAGCTGCCCTGGTTTCAGTTCTCGCTGAAGGGGAACTCATTAGCATATGCTACACCCCCTGACATCATAAGGCCTGGTGGTGGACCTGCAAGGCCGGCGGGAGAGCGAGGAAGCCCCGCCAAGGCCCTCCCTGGCCCCAGGCAGGCAGGGGTGGGGAGAGGTGGGGAGGAAGCAACTTACCCTCCCTCTTCTCCTGCCTCCTCCTGGCTGAATGAGGTCCAGAAGCGGGGCAGCCGGAAGCGGGGGGCAGGGTTTCATCATGTGCCCCACCCCCCACCCCTCACCCGGGGGAACGGTGATCCCCCCGCGACCCCCCCCCCGAATCGACCTTTGACAGTTACCCTCCCTAAGATATCCTTTCAGTGATGTCATTTCCCCGTTATTCGTAACTGCTTTAAATATTAAGAGGCATTCATGTTGGTAATTTCTCATTTCCTGCATTTTGGGAGTTCTCTAGAAGAGGACTGACACTCAGTTGTCTCCATTCCAAATGACCGACTACAATTTTGGCATCGCGTTGCTTCTGCTCAATCCAACTTTGGTTTTGAAACGGCCGTTCTAAAGCCTGGCAAACCTTCCACGAGATTGCAGTATAAATAAGCAAACCAGCAGGAGAAGCCCAGCCTGCATGAAGTCAAAGTAGAATACTTGTGTTCGGGATTCAGCATGCAACATGTCAAAATTCTGGCAGACTGCTTTCAGTTAATGAGAAATGCCCTGCAGCTCTGGCAAGAGAAGAATAATATTGGAACTGTATAGTAAATAGTAACCTCTTTTGCCTTTGGGGCTTCAACTGCTTTACCAAATAGATTGTCTTGTGCATTATTTACAAATCCAGCGCACACTAAGTATCTGGAAACTTTAAAAGTTCTCCGCACTTTATTGTACCGACCAAGAGAGGAGAAATATTCCGTTTCAGGCTATACTCTTTTCGTAGCGATAATGCTTCTCCCAAGAAATGCTTCTTTTCACCGACAGGGTTGCCCAGAGGTAGCAGTATGGTTACAGAAGTGCATTATGCTCCTCATTCACACAGTGATGCCATAAGCTTGAGCAAAAGCCTGTTTTTTTCCAAAATAGAGCAGCTTTTACTTCCAGTACAAGACTGGTGGAGCTCAAGAAAAATGACACAGAGCAGTTTGGTGTAGTGGTTAGAGCACGGACTCTAATTTGGGAGAATCGGGTTTGATTCCCCACTCCACATGCAGCTGCTGGTGTGACCTTGTGTCAGTAATAAATTCTTTTAGAGCTGTTCTCTCAAGTGCAGTTCTCTCAGAGCTCTCTCAGCCATGCCTACCTCATAGGGTGTCTGTTGTGGGAGAGGGGGAGGGAAGCCGCTCTGAGACTTCTTCAGATAGTGAAGGGCGGAGTATAAATCCAACCTCCTCTTCTTCTTCCTCTCTAAAAGTCAATACTGAAGAAACCACAACTATTTAGACAGGAGTAAAAGTCACAAGTCAGAGGTCAGTACGAGCACAGCAAGGGCCAAAAGTGTACAAGCGTGTCTAGATAGGATCTGCTGTCCCAGGGAAAGCCAGAGGTCAGGAAGAAAGTTCAGCATGCCAGGATAAAGTCTTAAGAGTTCCTGTTGACCGGACAGGAAGGTTCAACCTTCCCTAGGACCTTCTTAACACTTAAGAACATAAGAACAACGCCAATGTTGGATCAGGCCAAAGGCCCATCCCGTCCAACACTCTGTTGTCACACAGTGGCCAGAAATACCAGTGCCATCAGGAGGTCCACCAGTGGGGCCAGGACATTAGAAGCCCTCCCCCTGTTGACCCCCCCCCCCCAAGCACCAAGAAGACAGCATCACTGGCCCCAGAGACCCTATCTATACCTTGTGGCTAATAGCCACTGATAGACCTCTGCTCCATATGCTTATCTAATTCTCTTTTGAAGCCGTCCATGCTTGTAGCTACCACCACTTCCTGTGGCAGTGAATTCCATGTGTTAATCAC